TCAGTGTCTAGGGAAGAAAAAATAAATAAATAGGTAAGGGCAGAGCCATCATAAAACTACCACCCTTTTTGATTTATTTACCTCTAGGTGTGAGAGTCTGGAGAGTGAAAATGTTAAAGTGTTCTCTGTGGAGTACATTTAGGAGGGTATTTAGATCGCCTCCTCTCTGCCAGTGCCAGTATATGTGAGAGAGGCCACTGGGTGATTTGCCTCTCTGAAATGCACTGCCACCACGTTACGCTGGTCCTGGGTCTGGATGAAGCTCCTGTGCTCTGCTATCCTGATTTTTTTAGTGGCCTTTGTGTTTTTCCTCAAATAATGTTAAACCACGTGGTCATTTGATAAAATAGATTACATTTCTTGTGGAACAAGATATAGTGCCTTTTACTTTAATTTATTCCCCTGTCATTGGATGTGTATGTGGTACACCAATAATTAAATTGCGTGAGCCACACTGACAATTCCCTGGTGGAGGATCAAGGATAGTAGTGTTTTTAACAAGGATGAGATCAGATTTCACCAGCATTTGTCTCATGTTGGGGGAAGTTTGTACACTACTTTGGGGGAATTTGCCAGTGTTTTTGTATAGTTTTTTTTTTTTTTCAAAATCTTCCTAGAGCTGAATATTTTTTAAATAACATATAGGACCATTATTTGGTGGAGATTTTTCTAGTTAAGTCACTCCTGTAGTAGTAGTAGTAGTAGTAGTAGTAGTAGTAGTAATAATAATAATATTTTATCCAAAGCGACTTACAAGTGTCTTTTTCGGGGACACGTGGTGGATGCCACGGTGGGAGTCAAACCCGGGTCTCGCATCAAAGGCATGTGTCTTATCCACTGGCCATCACCACCCGTGCGGCACCAACTTAGTAATGCTGATCAGCATATTGTCTACCTGTTCCTTAGAGCGAGCAGTATTTGGCCTTTAGCTTTTATTAGTCATTAGGCTGAGTGATACTTCATTATTAATGTCTAATCTATATCTATATATATATATATATATATAATATACACATAATATACACAAACACACGAGAAAATATATTATTGTAAAATACAGAAAATTATAGGATTGTGTTCTAGTAAAAAAAACTGATTTGGATGTGACAGTCAGGACATAAGTTTTGACCATATTGTCTATCTTCTTTCTCTTTACACTGACAACATTCATAGTGGCTTGAAATAAATATTGACAAATACATGGTCCTTCTGTCTTTGTGTATTCCCAGGTGGTGACCGGTGGCCATTACGATGTGGACTGCCGTTTGGAGGACCCAGATGGAACTACACTCTACAAGGAGATGAAAAAGCAATATGACAGCTTTACATTCACAGCAGCCAAGAATGGCACCTACAAGTTCTGCTTCAGTAATGAGTTCTCCACCTTCACACACAAGACAGTTTACTTTGACTTCCAGGTCGGCGATGACCCTCCACTCTTCCCCAACGAGAACAGAGTCACTGCTCTCACCCAGGTGAGCGTGTGTGTGTGTGGATGCACAGGCCTATGCATTTACATGTTTTTATGTGAGGAATGAATGTTTCGTTCGGTTTTTAGCAGAGTATAGTATAGTTATTTTACTTATTTTAGATTTTTTTTTGTAACTCTGACATAAGCCCAATTTTGTTTTATTTGGTGCAACATGAGATGATGACACTTTTGTACATCTGTCTCACTCTGCTGTTGGTTTTATTGTGCCTGTTGCAGTTCCTATTAGTATGTGCAGTTTTGTGTTTCCATCCAGATCCACCCAGTTTTAACTGAAAAGGGGGTTTAACCTGCTGTAATAACTGAAACACCTGTCTGGGTGTGCTCGGCACTTGGAGTTTTAACCAGGATGGATTTAGTTGGCACCCACAGTCACATGTTGAGGCCACATCTGTCAATAGTTTACCTGCAGTTGCTGTGGATTTTATTACAGATAACACAGTGTATAACGTTTTTGCGCCATTTATGTTTTCACCAAGTTTCTTGTGGATAACAGATGAAACATTGAAAAAGAGAGCCTTGCTTGTACTGCAAGACTGAAGTTGCAAGTAACTATAAGGTGAACATAATAAACCATTTGTTAGTGGTAGTGACCAAACCCATGATGATATTTTTATGGGCTTTTGCATTCATTACCACACCCAGTTGTGGACAAGTACAAGTTACAGTTAATATTTTACAGCTAAACTAGTGAGACACTTCATTCGAAATCTGATGAATTTAAATATCTTTCTCATTTTACAGTTGTTTGCTCCCCAAGTTCCCTCTGAATAAAAGTTAAAATTGTTTTATTTAGTTGTCAATCGTTAATTTCCAGCCACAATCCAAATATCCTATAATTGTTTGTACCATTTCCAGATGGAATCAGCCTGCGTGTCCATCCATGAGGCCCTGAAGTCGGTCATCGACTACCAGACACACTTTCGCCTCCGAGAGGCCCAGGGACGTAGTCGGGCGGAGGACCTCAACACCCGCGTTGCGTTCTGGTCCATTGGAGAAGCTATTATCCTTCTGGTGGTCAGCATCAGCCAGGTGGTCCTGCTGAGAAGCTTCTTCTCTGACAAGAAGACTACTACAACGCGCGTCGGATCATAACGGTCTCTGAGCACTGGGATCTGATTATCACTTTCTTTACCCGTAACTGGGCTTGTGTGCATAGAGTGGGTTAGAATATCAGTGCTAATCTGAAATTGGATCATATCAAACTGCCAGGTCATACAATCTGACATGCCATCCTCACTCAGCACTGGTATTCTCGCTAACTTTACGCAAATGAGTCTTGAACAAAAGGTTATGTGTTGAAAATGTTTTGAGGGGTAAAGGAGAACCTGAAGAAAGGCTTGCTTGTGTTGCTTCTAACTATCTGTATTGGTAGGCAGTTCAAGCAGCTGGTTATATTGTTAAAGCAACCCTTAAATACTTTAAATATTTGAAATAATTTCTAAATGCGTTCTTATTTTAATGCATCCTTTTCCACATCCATCATCTCATACCCTCGCTCTCTAATCTGTTTGAATTTTCAGCCCAAACTGTGCACTGAAATAACCAAGGGAGCGAAAGTTGTGGCTAAATGTACTGGTAACACTGAGGGTTGAGGATTCCACAATGGCAAGGCAAAGGGTTTTTCCCCCATAAATGTTGCATTTGGTTATGAAAAATCTGTTGCATTTTTTCCCCTTTTGTTATTAAACCTCACTGTATTAAGTGAGAAAGACTAGGTTTTGTGTTAGATTTTTATCAGCGTTGTCATTTTAGATGACATATTAGAGAGGGAGGAAGCTGTACAGAGAGTAAGCCCTGCTCTAATCTCATAGTAGCTTGAAACAGTTTGTATTTGGGTTGAAGGATTTTATTTAGAGATGCAGATGAGTGACAGCAGCCAATTTCTTAAATACATTTAAGTCAGTTTTTGCATTTTTTTAATGCCATTTGCTCGATGTATACATTGTGATAAAATTATGCTTCAGATTGACTACACCTTTGGTGAATTATGTCCTAAAACTGTTAAAATTACATGTTGGGGCTTCTGTATTACATCTGTTTGACTCAATGTGGGAGAGAAGAAACAACTTATATTATTCTTGTTTAAAAAAATATACATTTTGTGTTTTTCAATGCCAGCAGTTTTAGGTGCACCAGCTTGTCATAAAACTTTGTCTTTCACTGTTTCCCATCTAATGTTATATCTAAGTCTGCCTTTGCTGTCTGACCAACTTATTTATCTTGTAGGCTGGATATTGTCATCTTAGTTTTATACAGCACTGTTGTAGTTGTTATTTGGAATTTTACTCAATTTTCTAAAGTAAGGAAGCAGGAAGGAAGATTTTGACAGCTTTAATCTTATGTCTCTTATCTAATATGGCTGGTTCTGACTTTTTTCCATCATCTTAACTCAATTAGTAATACTGAAACAAAAATTAGAAACATGCGAGTTTCTTTATTAAGATTTTCATTAAACATCTGAGCCTCCAGGAAGTGTTACATGTAGTAGTTGCAGGCTTAGTTCAACGTGGAAGTGTTGCGTCAGCCAGGAATCGCATGAAAGTTAGTGGGTCATTGTTTCTCTTCACTATTCGCTGTGTTACTGACTGACATAAACAAAGACACAATCATGGCTGAAACATGAAATACCAGAGTATGTCACTTTGAAGTTTTCACAGCACGCAACATCAATGAATGTAACTGACATTCAGTCACCAGCTAACAAAGCGAGAAGACATTATTGTTGTCATGTGAGAATTGTCACAAAATATAACTTTAATATGTATGACAAAGACAGACTTTTACACCTAACCCACTGAACGAGACCAAACAGTCAGTGTTTTGTTTTTTACTTTATAGTTTGCTCTTGTTCAACTGTTAGAACTAAGTTCTAGAGACATGGAAGACAAGTAAAAGATATACTACCATATTATTCCCATTTGCTAGTTCTGGCTTGGCTTTAGCTCCTTTGTAATAGTTGTCCCTTCTTCTCACCATGTGTTCATCGTCAGTTTTGGTAGGTGGTGCACTTTTAGGTTTGTGCACCGACAGGTCATTTTTGGACACAAATTCACCTCTGATGCATTCTGGGAACTTGTTAAGTTATTGGAATGGCTGAATAAACTTTCTGTTAAAATGTCGATGTATGCTTTTATTTATTGGTTATCAATAAACTCTTGGATTTCAGTGATGGATGGAGTTTAAAGATACATCCTCTGTGCTGGTCATGCTTCTCTTATCCTGTAGGGAGTGATAAAATCAAGGCCATCACAGTCAGCTTTGCAGCCGTGAAATATTTAAAGATATGTTTTACGCCGGCAGATACAGAGTAGGTATTTTAAGCTTTCACTTGGCGTTGGTTTCTCTTTCCGTTGTAGGTATTTCTTTACAAAAGGTACTTACAGAGGAGCGATCTCTCTTTGTTGTGTTTTTAATTGGCCACGTCATAGCCTGCCAGCTTTGTGATTGGCCGTTCACACGTCAATCATTTGCGCGAGACGAGAAAAAAAGACGGGTTACGTTTGCGATTTGACAGAAACTGAGTCGTGATTATCTGGGCGAGCCGTGGGTGGATAGCTTTGCCTATCTGCCTTCCCCTTCTTCGAGATTACTGTCGTGCCAGCTTGCTGAGTGGCTACATTGACGACTGTTATTCGCTGTGTTGGGGGTAACGTCGTTTGTTTCTCCGTGTGTGTGGAAGAAAAACGACTCTGATCCCAGGGATATCCTCTGCTTGTTTGGCCGAACTAGAGACCGACCGTCGTTTTCCCAGGCTAAGCTAGCAGCAGCACGGCGCAACGGGTGTGGGTGGATTTTTATATGACGGCCCTCGGAAAGCGAATATAAATATCCTCTCAGGAGTATGTTGTGGAGCAATGACAAGCACAGGAAGCAGATCTAAAGGAGGAGAGAGGGGAAGACGTGCCAGTGGATGAGTATCGGTCGAACGATCAATAAAGAGGTGTAGCGTTAGTGCTAAAGTGTTTCAGCTAGCGAAGCTAATCGTTTAGCTAAATTGATCAAGGAAGTTGGGTAGCCACCTTGCTAACTCAGCGACAAATGTATTACTGGACCAAGGGTCGCCTCAAACATATGAGTTATTAGTTACAGAGCCACGTAACATGCTGGTGATGCCCGTTTTTGAAAGCTGAACGAATTGTCGTGGGCTTTGAACCGAAACGCTAACTGTTAGCCAACGTTAGTTGGGTTTTACGATAGCTAGAAAGTCGGAGCTTGTAAACAAAGGGTCCCGAGCTCCACCGCAGCGTTTCACCTCGAGTTATCGCTGACTGATTGTTTCACGGACATCGTTTCCTTTTTATTAAACACTGAAACCATCTCTCAGAAATGGATTTAAAGACGGCCGTTTTTAACGCAGCCCGGGACGGTAAGCTCCGGCTGCTGCAGAAACTGTTGGAGAACAAAGATGGACACGAGGTGACCAAGTTGATGGGTGAGAAGACTAACGGAGCCACCCCGCTCCTGATGGCTTCCCGGTACGGCCACCTGGACTTGGTAGAGTATCTGCTGGAGATCTGCAGTGCGCCTGTTGAGGTCGGTGGGTCAGTGAACTTTGACGGGGAGACCATCGAGGGAGCGCCCCCTCTCTGGGCCGCCTCGGCGGCGGGGCACCTGAAGGTGGTCCAGTCCCTGCTGGGCCACGGAGCTTCTGTCAACAGCACGACCCTGACCAACTCCACACCCCTGAGGGCGGCCTGCTTTGACGGCCACCTGGACATTGTGAAATACCTGGTGGAGCACAAAGCTGACCTGGAGGTGGCTAACAGACACGGCCACACGTGCCTCATGATTTCCTGCTACAAGGGACACAAAGATATAGCGCAGTACCTGTTGGAGAAAGGTGCAGATGTCAACAGAAAAAGTGTTAAAGGTGAGTGGGTAGCACACTCAAGGCTGTTGGCAACATGCAAACAGTGGCTCCCTTTTATTCACATGATCTCTGACCCTGAGATAAGATACACAGATTCTGCAGATTCCTACATTTTCTCTCTCAACTCTTTCACAGCAACACCTCAGTGTTGCGCCACACATTCTGGATAATTAGTTGATGTATTTCTATTAATCTCCTGGCAAGTAATTTTTGAGAAAGTTAAAGAAACTTTGTGAATATGTAAAATAATACCCTCATATACTAGAGGTGATTACATAGATGTAAATATACACAGTAGGGAACAACAATGTGAGAACGTAATTTAAGCATTAGCATGTTTCCATCTAAAATGACTCAACAGAATAACATGAACTTCTGGTTTCACAATGGAAAGCTGCAATGACAACTGCGTCAGTGTGGACTGATTTAGTGGTGGGTGTGTCTGAAAAGATCATGGTTTCTCCTTAGATGATTTATAAATACATGAAAACCGGTGTTCATCTACTTGATTTGGTTTTTTTAGGGTAGTGTCTTTTACGAGATGACAGACCACAGGATTACTTGAAAAGAAGAGTATTACAGTGGTTTCCCACCATTAATAATCTTGTGTATCTAACAGTTGACCGCTGTAGATGTCTAAAAGAAACATGGGGAAATGGGAAGTGTTCCTTCCTTCACAGAGCACAACAGCTGTAGTTGGCTTGAATTCAGTAGATTTCAAAAGTAACCCGTTTTCACGGGAGGAAAAATTATCGAAATGTCCTCAAACCATCCTTGCGCTGTGGTTCACTTCTGACCATCTTTATACTCGGTGTGTTCCACGTTATCATTCTTTCAAAATAAGGTGTCTGTGTTAATCCTCATGCATCAAACTTGCAAGCAGGTACGTCTATTAGTTTTCACACATTTGAGTCCCCACCTCCTACGCTTCCATGAAACCACATTTGACTAGCTAGAGGTTGGCACGAAATTTATTCACTCTGTCAAAATCCAATGAAAAGTCAAGACACTTGGTTCTCCTGACCATCATAAGAGCAGCTGGCAGTTGCTCTAATGTACACAAACTAATGCATGGGCTTACAAGTGAGCTTGACAGCGGTGTGATGATTGAGGTGGAAAGCACTCTTGCAGCCAGTTTTTCAGATTATTGCCTTTTTTAATAACTGATAAACCAGCAGGAAGGAGTAGATGTGTAATATTAGATATACAGCGTGACATTTCCCAAAATAATGGACATTGTGTTGATTTAGGGAAAATGGCCAGGATCCCACAACCACAGCAGATTGAACTGCTTAAAAAGATGTCGTCAGCGCTTCAGGACAGTTATTCGTGGGATGCCTTCCAAAATGAACGCCTCATTTTGGTTTAACGTAGCCTAAATTCTATTGGGAGCCGCATAATGACTGTGCGAAGCATTTCCCAAATTTCTGGATTAACCTGTTTTGTTAGTGGAAGTGAACTTATCGTCCATACGAGAGAAGGAGAGAAAAAAAAAACACATTTCCATAACCACACGAAAATATTGACATTGAACATATTCCCCCAGAAAAGTTGTGAACTCCAGTGGCAGCTGATTTTTGAGGAAGGCCCAAAAGAGGCATTTGTGGCAAATTCATGGTAACATGATACTCTACTGTAGCAAAAAGTATTTGATATCTGAGAAATGCAGCGTTGACTATATAATCACTCCATTTGAAAGCAAGTAATTCATTTTACAAACGGGCCACCAGCTGGACAGGGAGTCTACTTGTGGTTATTGACAGTGTTGCATGTAAATTACTTAACATTACAGTAGATCAGCCTTAGTCTTAATCTGTTAAAATGAGCTTTCAGATTTTTCCGTCATTGTTGAAAAGATTCAGCCAATGGCGGAGAATATTCAGTTGATGTGAGCCCTGCTCAGTGATGGCTGTTTTGGAATACCACAATGTCTAAAAATGCTCTATGATTTAACATTTATACTAAGGCTGGGCAGTATATAGGTTATTTCAAAAGAGATATACAATTAGACAATACCATTTATGCTGATAGTTTGATGTTGTATGTTAGTTCTGTGAGTGTGAAGAGTACTGATGGAGGAAGATTCAATAAGTGAGTGACCCTTAAATAAGGTGGAGAATGAAGTATAATTAAAACGGTGAAATAAGAAACAAGCTACTACAAATAATACAAACATGCCAGCCCTAGTCTTTTCTGAACATAGACAGAACAAAAAAGGAGAGGGCTTGGAGAAATGTGAGCGAAACCATAAGACTACATGGTACGTTCTGAAAATATTTGTTTTATTTCAGCGATCGGGTATATTTTACTAAATACCAAGTCAGTGCTAGCGGTAGCTGCCTTCCCGAGTATGACTATTGGCTTTGGCTCCAAAATTAGCTTTGTTTGGTCTGAACACACCTTTTTAACCTAACACCTTTCTCCAGGGTTCTTGTATGATGTGACACACCCACAAAGTCAAAGCAAACAACTCAAAAGACTCTTCTTTTTCTTTTTGTTTAGTTTTTTTTAACTGCACATGCTTGCAGCAGTTAAGCTGACATCCCCATTGGAAAGCTAATATTCAGTTTACCCACTATATTAAGAACTAGAGGCAGCATGACCTGCTATTTTCTGAGTGAGTGGTATGGAGAATTGCATGCTCAATCTGTGAGCATGACAAGTTTCACCTGAATGGGTAATCATTGGGTGGAAGTGAGCGTTTAAGAAATGACTCAATGGCAGCATCCTCAGTAATCCTGGTACCAGCTGATCTGCAGCCATTTTGAAGATATTCCAACAGGCGCTGGAACGCTCTCTGTAGATACATTTGCTAAGTTTATTTTTATTACGCTAATTGGCCAGTTTGCAAACCCGTGAGTAGCATTAAAATTATCTCTGCTTTTATCATAAATGCTGTGGCTCAGCCGGGGTATACAATCACTCGTATAGCACTGAGGTACTGCTTCCTCAGGCAGCATGAAGATACAGTCTTCAATTAAATGTATCTGCAGATCATCTAGCAGTGCTTTAGTTATGCTAACTATTTGTTGCAGAAAAGTCACCATAAATGGTAAATTGTTAAGAGTTCACGTCTATTAACTTTCAAGTAAATCTTAAAGGAAATCCATATAAAAAAAAAAAATTAACACAAGCATTGCATTACTTGAACAAACTTGTCTCTGAATTCCAACGACACTTCTGTGTGGTGACGTTGTCTGGGTTCTCTGTGAATATAATTCTATAGCTTATTGTAAGACACGTGTCCCCTCTGTTCACAGGCAACACGGCGCTTCATGACTGTGCAGAGTCGGGCAGTCTGGAGATCATGCGAATGTTACTGCAGTATGGAGCGTCCATGGAGCAGGACGGCTACGGCATGACACCCCTGCTCTCTGCCAGCGTCACAGGCCACACGAACATTGTAGACGACCTGACGACGCACCATCAGGTCAGGGTTCCTGTCGCTTACAGTGGCGTTTGTCTGCATAGATGTGCGTGAGGTATCTATTAAATATTTATCTTGAAGGAATATTCATTAAAAAAATTATGTTCTTTGTTCTGCAGACGAGCCACATGGAACGCATCGATGCCCTGGAGCTCCTCGGAGCCACGTTTGTTGACAAGAAGAGAGATCTGCTTGGAGCTTTAAAATACTGGAAGAGAGCCATGGACCTCAGGTACATGGACAACAACGTTGTCCATAAACCAGAACCCAAGCAGCTGGTCATGGCATACGACTACGCCAGGGAGGTGAGTATTAGTTTGAGTCCGTCTGTACACCTAACACCACCCTAGCGTCATGTTTTGGTAAAAGCAGCACAGACTTTAGCAAAGGGACTGCTTTTAAGTTCACTGCACAGAAACAACATTTAAAAATCTTTAGTCTTTAGAGACAACAGGCTAGTTTTTGAGGTTGTCGCGAAGAATTAAAAGAAAACTCGACATTTTGGACCATGTTAACCCAAAAAACGGATTCTGGTGCAAACGCAAATATAAAAAAAAAAACAGTGTTCTACTGAATTTATATTTAGAACCCACTGCAGCAGTCCAGTCTCAAGTCTTAAAGCTATTTGCTTCTGGAAAGCCTGACTTCATCACAGCACATGGAAACCCCAAACTGCCTAAATTGCTGCACCCTGCCATTATCTTGACCTTGTAATCGTCTTTCTAGGTAACAAACGCAGAAGAGCTGGACGGGCTGATATCCGACCCGGATGAAATGCGCATGCAGGCACTGCTCATCCGCGAGCGAATCCTCGGCCCACAACATCCAGACACGTCTTACTACATCCGTTACCGAGGTGCTGTCTATGCCGACTCTGGGAACTTTGAGCGCTGTATCAATCTGTGGAAGTACGCGTTGGACATGCAGCAGAGCAACCTGGACCCCCTGAGCCCCATGACCGCCTCCAGCCTGCTGTCGTTCGCTGAGCTCTTCTCCTTCATGCTGCAGGATCGGGCCAAGGGGCTACTGGGGACATCGGTGTCATTTGAGGACTTGATGGGGATCCTTTCCAAGAGTGTGTTGGAGATTGAGCGGGCCGTTAAACAAAATGGACCGATGCCTCCAGACCCTGCTCAGCTCAGCAAGGCCCTGTCAATCATCCTGCACCTCATTTGTCTTTTGGAGAAAGTGCCATGTACTACAGAGCAGGACCACTTCAAGAAGGAAACCATCTATAGGTGGGGTTGTGTGTAAATTGCCTGCATTGGCAATAATGTTTCTTAAGTGAGGAAAATTATATTTTAACATTTTCCCTCAGTAAAAGTAAATATTAAGTTAAAAGGGAGGTTATCCAGTTCTGTTCGCGCAATACACAGTATGATGCCCTGTCTTTTACTTGATTTGGTGTGAACCTTTCCCCATTCAGGGAGCCAGAGCACTTTTATGTCCCCCTTTTTCACCAACTAAGAGTGTCACTGAAACGGTGCATTACACCTCCAAGGCCTTCTGTGAATTTGTGACAATGCATCATGTTTGTTGCATTTATTAAGCTTATGTCTTTAGTCAAAGACACTTACAATAAGTGCATTCAACTATGTGGACACAACCCAAAAATTTATCAACTTGATCAATTATCCTGAACTGCTTAAGTGAACTTCCGAAGGGCTACATTTAGAAACTATAAGAGATGGTTTGTTTTTGTTCTGTTTCATGTTTTTATAGTTTTCATGTTGTTGGAAGATGTTTCTGCTGTCCTGCAAATAGTCGTGATTTTGCTGAGATGTAGCTGGGCCCCGCTCATAGTGAGAGAGCAGTAAGACAATTGGCAGTATGTCTCATAATCTGTGCTAATAGTCCAGTCAGACCTGAGGTCCTCATTATCATTTGGGACGTTGTCCTGTACTTGCGTAGCGCTGTTATGGTGATGTTTGTAGTTCATTGTCAGTTTGTTGCAATTCCTCGATTGAAAGGTTGATATTTCTCTGCAGATTCCTGAAGCTCCAGCCGTGTGGTAAGAACGGCTACAGTCCACTACACCTGGCAGTCGACCGCAACACCACCTGTGTGGGCCGCTATCCCGTCTGCAAGTTCCCCTCCCTCACAGTCGCTTCCATCCTTCTTGAATGTGGGGCAGATGTGAACTGCCGCGATCAAGATGACAACAGGTCTGTTTGGGTTTGTAAATGTTTCATCTAGTCTAGTTACGCGCTCATAATTTGCTGTTTTGTCACTATCATGGTTTTAATTTATTTATTTTTACCAATAATTCTGTTAATAAGAACAACAGACAACATAGTAAAAATGGTTAGAACCAGGGCAGGAATTTCAGAGACCCCCCAGTTTTCCCTCATATCCCTCAAAAAATGATATGCCCTGCAGCCACAGTGGCCAGCTCACATCGTCCTCAAGACCAGTTCAACTGTAAGTCATGGTTTTGCAGCTGAAGCCGTAAGACTGGACAATAGGGGCTGGCTGGCTATTTAGAAACATGTCGCCACGCTTGTCAGTTTCAAGTGAGAGCTCATGTGGACGAGTAAGAGAGGGAGCGTGACGATGGACAGAAGTGATGTGATATAAAAACTTTGTTAGAATGTGTATGAACTACACTGTGGACCGGAGTGTCTCTTAACTACGGAGACCCTAAAATGTTTTTATTTTGGTTAACCTTGAGCACAAAAGTTGGATACTTGTAACACAAGATAAAAAATATCACCGTACGGGACTGAAGGGCTGCCGTAGTTTACAGTGCCAGACGAACAGATCTGTGTTCTATATGCTCATCTCTCTGACCCCGGACACACACATTGTTGTTGACTTGTTTATGCTTCTACAACCGATCACAGTGCTCTGTGGCTGAATTTCCCACTCCCAGCATTTCAGAATAAGAGCGTTTTCCCTGCCTGATTTTAGCTGAATTGTTTCGAAGTAGTTGATTTGTTAAGTTGTCCTTGATTTTTGTGCTTCTACCATGGTTAAGAAGGCTACGTAGTTAAAGTCGTAGTTGTTTCTGTTTTTAACTGTGTTTATTGATATACGATCGGGAGTCTGTACAAGGTATTTTACTTTGAAAATCAACTGGATTCTCTTTGCCGTTTCTGTGTCTGACTTCCTGCCTGGCTCATCTGCTCTGTTCTGCTGCTTCTGTCAAAAATAGACCGGCTGCCTATTCTTCTGGGATGCGCTGTGGCACTACAGTGGCAGCAATTAGCTATGGCAGCCGTAACGCGGCGCACACGCCGCCTGTGTGATTCCGGGGTGAGACATCTGTATCCTCACTGCGCTGCATTTTTATAAACTATGATAAACTGGTCGTGGGTCATATCTCCCTCTAGTCCAGGCGTTTTCTCTCCCTCTTCATCTCCTTGCATCCCTTATGCCTTAGATCCTGTTGTTGACTGTGTAGTTGCTGTGGCTGCTTTGATGTACAATATGTTGGTGTTCAAGTTGGCCGCCTGCTGTGGAGTAAATGACATGTCATCCTGGCTAGGCTGTGCGATACGACAATATCTATCGTTTGACGATAGAAAAACATCTGTTCTTTACAATTATGCTCAATTGTTTTTTGTTGTCGCAAAATCCACACTTTACCGTAATATTTTCCACAAGGGGATGGTGCTTTGCAATTTGGTGAAGTTAGTTTTAAGTTGGAGATTCAACAGATTTGTTTTCAGAATAAACAAACATGGAAGGGAGTGAAGTTTACTCAGAAATCGGTAATACTGAACAGGAGGACTCAGGACCATGCAAGCAAAAACGGGGAGCTCATATCAAAGAGAAGTCTGTTGTATGAACAAGCCACACAACAGGTTCCAGCCATGTCGGGTAATGTTAAATGACTTGCCCACCGACAATCCGCTTACTTTCTAGTTCGCCAAGACATGCTGTCGTGACGTTCGCTACAGCAGAAGGAGAGGTGTGAGAATCGCAGTCTGGAGCTGGTATGGTGATTCTGGGACCGTGTCATCCCCTCATGTTAGCTTTGCAGCAGAAAATAGTGACAGTTTGATAACCACAACCTAGCTAACAAGAGTTACGTTACATCCTGTGTCGTTTTTCGCTCTATATCATGGCATTTGTTATGTTACTGGATTTCTCCAGAATCGCATACCCACCTTTTATGATGCAGAGAAAATCATGAGTATGATTATATTTCATTGAAATTACACAAATGTTTTGATATTGGGATATATCGGGATTTGAGATTTTGGTCAAATCCCACAGCCCTAATCCTGGCCATTGAAATTAATTTTAAAAAAACATGAATGTCGCGCCCTGCATTTGGACTTTGTGCCCTCAACACAAAAGGCCAAGCGACCTTGCCCCTAAAATCATGAAATTCCAGGCCTGGTTAGAACAATGTTGTATTTCTTCCATCTGTAACTGAGAAGGTAAATGAAAATACTTAACTAGTATAATCTTATGGAAGATTATTTATATTGTTTGTTGTTTTTTTTTCCTTGCCAACCCATCAGTCCCCTTCATATAGCCGCATCCAATGGTCACCCCGACATCATGAACCTGCTGATTTCATGCGGAACTCACTTTGACAGCACCAACGCCTTCAAACAAACAGCCTGTGACCTCCTGGACGAGAAGGAGCTGTCCAGGAATGTCATCCAGCCCATAAACCACACCACGCTGCAGTGCCTAGCCGCCAGGGCCATCATCAAGCACAGCCTCGACTACCGGGGAAACATCCCCGAGAAACTAGAGGCCTTCGTCCTGCTCCACAGATAATGATTGTGAAGGATTAGAGAGAGAACTGGATGGATGAAAAGAGGAGGGGGCGTGACTACATGGAGTGGACTGGACAGACTGAGGAGCATTATAGTTCAACGCCTGACCCACGAGGCGTTGGAGGAGCTGAAAGACACAACTTTGTGGGTTAGGTTTGCAAATTCAAACTATTTTGGGGAGTATGAACTCAAAGATTTGTGTGAACAAAAAATGTCGTCATTCAACAAGGAGAAACTGAGAAGTGATTGGAGTAAACAGAGGAATGGGTTAGCATTTTCGCCTTTGATGGAGGCACAGCTCTGACCGGTCACAACTCAATCTCTGGGGATGGATTAGGAGTGGATTGCAACATGGACGAACAGTTGTATCTCCGGATGAACTGAGAAAAGGGTTTACGTATTTTTGCTTTAGAAAAAAAAAAACATTTGTTTTGGGGTTGTTTTTTTTTTTGCATATTCCACTATGCTATTTATTGAATGAAACTTGAGAGATTTTTCTCCATGCTGGCTCCAACCCAGCCTCAACTTTGCCTGCTTCTCTCAAAGCAAGGATTGAGGCCTTTCTACATATGCTGGGACTTCAGGTTATTTTTTTGTTTGTCCCATCACTGTTGCCAACAGTCATGGACCCTTCCTCAGTCATTAGGTTACACCTTTTTGTGTGTGTGTGTGTGTGTGTGTGTGTACTTTTCCAATACATTTAGTTATTGTCAAATCTGGATACCTGCCAAGTGGTAGGCATTCTAGACTTATTTGTCCATCCCAACTTTAGTGTATAACAAAGCTTTACGAGAAGGGTTTAATGTCTGCGAACACCATAAGTGCTTTATTCTTCCTATGCACAGGCTAGGCTGTTGGAAAGAGAGACTGTTGTATTCTGTGCCGGCACTTGTCTGTGCAATATCTCTCCATGAGTTTTTGTGTTTACCTCATTGCTGCCGTTTCCTTCAGTGTCCCCTTTCCTCACTCAGAAGGGGGGGAGGGGGTGCAAAAACCATTGTACTGAGTGTTGTAAAAAGAGTGGATGAATTTGAATGATTGTGTATGTGTGAAAGAGCGTGAGTGCCACAGAGTGTTTCTTGTATGCGGAGTGTTTTTTTTGTTTGTTTGTTTTTTAGGTTTGTTTTGGGTTGGTTTTTTTGTTGTTTTTTTTTTTGTTTTTTTAAGCTTACACAAATGATTGCGGACAAGAGTTTGTTAAAGTGGTGGAAATTCCATAATGCATATGACTGCCACTAGAAACCACAGCGGCCAAACTGTCTACAACGCTGGAGTGTGCAGGCTTGTACACAAAAGTGACCTCTTACAATTCATACATGGCTTACCTTTAATTGCCGTCGTTCTTTTAATAATCGTGATCAAAAAGCAAATTCTGAGTAGGTTTACCAACATTGGCCAATTGTGCATGTGCAGCAGTGTATCAACCAACCAATCACTGCAGAAAACCTTTCATGAGAACTCCTAGGCTCCAAACTAGACTACAGCTAGGTTAGTTCTGCTCATTTTGTACAACTGTCGTCCAATTGTATAAGAACTGAAGACACAAATGAGTGGGAGAACGCCTCGACCTACAGAATAGTACAGCTTTGTGAATTATCTTGTTTGCACATTAGCTTTTAGATGTGTGGGGTTGAAAAAAGGGCTTTTCATAATTCGTAGGATTTCATATTGCAGTCTGTTAAACCTGACCGCTCAAAACCAGACGTAGAAAATGTATGAAGACTCCCAGGGCAACTTGATTTGAATCTGCACTTTACTACAGCGGAGTTTAAGATTTGAATATGGCATTAATCAAGTTCATGTCTTAATAACCAGTTTGACAATAAACCCATGTTGCACTTGTCTCCTTGTTGAAATGTCTTTATTTCCTTATTCTGTCTATTTGTGGAGCTTTTGCTGGTGGGAAATGTAGCAGATGTTTAGGTTTCTAAGGGAGAATGGAATTGTGTGTTTTAGCCCTGTGTAGGTGTCTACATTTCAGTTTTAAATGGTGCCAATTTCCAATGGCCTACATGTATCCTTCAGATCAGGAAAATGGTGTTCCACAAGGAAAAAGGCTGCTTTCAATCCCGACTGAAATTGAGATAAGGGTACTAGTTTTGTTCCCAAGCGATCAGCACATACGCTAAATCTATTTCTTTAAAAGGTTCATGGGAATACAGAAATAAAAATAGCACATCACCAAAAACCTTGCCTAATAAAGTCATTAGAGTGTGTGTGTGTGTGGTAAACAGTCAAGTTGTGGGTTGCGACCTCATGTCACAGCTTCAGGCAAAAAATTTTTTTTTCAGTTTTTACCATGTTCCCTTTCCACCAGTTACTTTTACTGCTTCTCTGCCTGTTAACTATTGAGTTTTCATATGAATTTCACAGGATTACCAGACTGAGTCCATCCTCCTGCTAATTTTACTGCACAGTCACTGAGCTTTAGACTCATTCCAGATACTTGAGCTTGGGAGCAGGTTTATAGAGGACCACTCTGGACTGGAATGTGTCCAGAGAAACCTTTGACATGGCAGAAGGGGTTGCTCATGTGGCGCTTCCAAGAACTGTCCCAAATAAAAACATGCTGATTTATGGTTTGTTTGTTCAAGACTCATTGCTTAAAGAAATAAACGAACAGCAGTGGCTGACTGGGTGCTCTGCAGAGAACATGGGACAAATATGCCTCTTTGAGAGACTGACAATATTTACCCGCTCAGTCATAGGATCTAACCAAATATGTTTGCCTTTGGCCAAGAAGAGAATATGTGTTCCCTACTTTGTTGTTGAGCATTTTATAAAATACTTTGAAAATAGCGTGCAACATGAAATGGCAAATAACCAATGAAAGTGATCTGAGAAAGGTTTATTTGCACTTTTTTTTTTTTATGTAAGAATAAACAAGCTACTGATTATAAAATGACCCCAAAACATGCAGCACCAATCAATAACTTCTTTCTGGCCAAATTTTCTGTTCTCTCACAATGAACATGGCAAATGAGAAGGAAAGAATAAATCATGCCTGCATGTGTGCTAATTCAGCAGGAATGATATTACATGAGAAAAGTTGATATACAGAGAAACATATGTGAAAGCAAAACGGAGAGCTGCATGTGTCCAGTACTTTGATTTATGTCTAAACACCTGAATAACCTTAGCTGTAATTCTTGTTTCCTAGTTGGCACATGTTGACACAAAACTAAAATGTGTTAGCATTTAGCTCAAAGCACTGCTGTACTTAAGAACAGCCTCACACAGCCACAAGTATGGCTGTAAACATTTAGTCTTGTTGTCTTTTCATTGAATTAGTTCACATTAAGAAAAATACAGATTAACGCCAGCAGTTCTCTGTTGTTAAAAACATTTGTCTTGGTTTAATCTCCAGGTTATAGGATGATCACACTGGGTATTTCCCTCTCTCTCTCTCTCTCACCAACTGCTCAAGGCAGATGGCCGCCCACCGTTAGTCACGGCTCTGTTCAAGGTTTCTACCTGCTGAAAGGGAGTTTTTCCTTGCCTGTGTCTCCAAGTACTGGCTCATGGTAGGAATTGTTGGGTCTCTGTTTTTTACAAAATATTACAAAGAGTACGGTCTTGACCTGCTTTTTATGAAAAGTGCAATGCAATAACTTTTGTTATGAATTGAATTTTTATAAATAAAAACTGAATTGAATTATTTTAGTTTAAAATTGTGAATGGATGATAAAACAGTCGTCATCTAACAACTTGATGATGGATCTCCCTCATATGCAAAGAATAAAGGTCTTGACTACACATTTATTACATTATGTAAAAGTCACAGTGGGAATAGGTCTTGATTGTCAAACAAATTTAAATGCAGAGATGGATTTCTTCCCCAACCCCTTCCTCTGTCACAGTGAAGCTCTCACCACCTGTTTCCTCCACATGTACAGCGGCAGCAGCAGCAGAATGTCACACCTATTCTGAATGTTCTCTGATGAGTCTCACTGCCAAGATCTCGAGCGGAGAGTGGGAATTTCTTAATGAGTCACAATTACTGTAGGTACTTGTGTGTGTGCGCGCACTGGGCAGCTGAGGCAGAGCAGGTTTGGGTAGATACTCTGCGTGTCATAGCCGATCAAGAGTCTATTTTGTGACCTATAAATAAGGATTTTGCAACCTCTTGAGATTCACCATGTGTCTACACACATAGTGTCTACTTAAAGAGGCAGCCATTTGAAATCATTACTGTTACTCTTACATAACAGAAACAGGACTTCGACTCATTTTGAGTTCACCAAGAGCTTAACTAAGCCAGTTGGAAAGAGAAAAAGGAAAAGGCAAAGGCCTAAACAGGATGTTTTCAGATGTGTTTTTGAGTTCATGTGGGTTACTAGCAGGGCCTCTGTGAGGAGCGTCATTGAACTGCTGCTTTAGGTTTATAATAACCACACACCCATGATTACCCGCCAGAAATAGCACAGATATTATGAGGAGAAAGTGCTTATTTATTTTCACCTGGTGTGAGGAGTAACATATTACTGGGAACTTTATTAGACGTCACCCACATCGCTATAACTCATCTTTCTTTCCAACCTGTTGTCTCTGTTGTGTTAAGCTCAGTTAACCTAAATTTCCTCCAGCAGGAATATTAACATCGCTCACTGACGGTAATTGTGAAGTATAAGATGTAGGTGTTTCTGGGACTCTGTGCCTGGAACAAGTCGAGGCTTGTCACAGCACAGTGTAAAACATGTGCGTGTTGATGTGGCGGAGCCCCACTTACACTGGCACTGGAGGTTAACAGTGCCAACAGCTCTGTGTCGAACTAGATGTTGACTTAATGAGGGAGAGATTAAAATGGTTTGCTGAGAGAGACAGGAGGACAGCTGAAATGAGCTCTGTGCCACACGAGGAAGGTGGGTATGTAGCAAGTCTGTGCGTTATTATAAAGATTTTCTAGAAAAATCACTCGTCTGCCAAGGAGTGAGGGGGTTTAGCGAGTCAGAGGGTTGCCCATGACTTCCCAGCCATGAAGTTGGCGTGAGTCTACCTTGCTGAGCTGTCTTCGGGCACGATACACACTGCTCCAAAAAAAGAGAGTCATTCTTTGTTATTGTGTTATAAGATGGACAGGATACATTACACAGAGGCAGGAGGTATCAATACATAGAAAAATGCTTTAATAAATCCTAATGTTCCATTTGGGATCCTCTTTAACAACCCCAAAAAACAGACTTAGAGGGACAGGTTGACAAGTCTGTCTTAAAACAATACAGACACACCCATACATGTGCCCATATGTACATTTAAATATGATTGGTCACTGTTCATACTGGCTGCTTGAAACAATTTCAGTTACTGTTATTTTAGTACCAAATTCCCTCTTTTCATTGCTATCCTAAAATGATGTTTCAGAAGTCTTCCCCAGAATATGACACATTATTTCTCAAAAAATTGTAACACATTGAATACTGACATAAATACAGACAGATTTTCATATGTTCTATATTTGGGATTGAGATTATTTTCAATGCAGAACTTCACCTCCCAAATCCCAAATAAGTGTTTTTGGGTTAATTTAAGCCCAGTTTTGTTGATAAGACTCATTTTTTGTGTGTGTTTTGTCACCTTCATCATCATGTGCAAGCTCAGTTTGTAGCAAAGGGAGGAGTTACCACTTTTTCCACGTATTGGTTTCTAATAAGGTCAGAAAAATGTATTTATAGGAAAACATAGGTTTTAACCGTATAGTAGTGGAGGTCTCTGCTGAGTCTCCAGACAATATGAAAACATATCTGACACAGTCCTCACTCACTGTACACAAGGCTTCACACTATGACTTATTTCCGTGGCCTTTTGGCAGTGCTCCTAGCTCAGCCTACTTCTGTCCTGTCTATATATAGGGCTGAATAATGCCCTGTTGGAAAGCTGTCCTACATTGAGCGTGCTCCTCCATCTCAGAATACTTGCAGGTGATCTCGCCTCAGTCACCAGACACCTTTCCTCTCCATGTGCCACTCAATTCATGTCAGTTCCGTGAGGTTTTACTGACATGAACGACAAGTAGAATAATGCCAGAGTGCATTCCCAAGAGCAGTAACAGAAGAATTATGAATAAGAAATTAGGCCTATTGTCTCTTTTAATGTTTCATCACTTACCCGTCTCTGTCTGCCACCCCCACACTTTCTAGCTTTTCTCTCTTTTCTCTATCTCCCTCTGGCTCTCTGTCCTTGGTCACCACGGCAGCAGGAGAGCAGTTTTTGCTTAAATGGATGAATTTATTGGATCACAACTCAATAGTACTTGAGGTACATGAAGTATATGAAGAAGTATTTCAGTACAATGTCTGGATCAATATTTTGTTTTATCTTATTTTGTTGCATGCTCTCACGTGTGATTTTAAAATGACTATATATTTATATATTTATATACTTATATATATACAGTCCCCTTCAAAAGTATTGGAACGGTAAGGCAAATTCCTTTGTTTTTGTTGTTCACTTAAGACATTTGGTTTTAAGATCAAAAGATGAGTATGAGACAAGAGTTCAGAGTTTCAGCTCTCATTTCGTGGTATTCACATCTAGATGTGTTAAACAACTCAGGACATATCACCCTTTGTTTGAACCCACCCATTTTTCAAGTGAGCAAAACTATTGGAACATGTGACTGACAGATGTTTCTTGTTGCCCAGGTGTTGCCTTTTAGGTTGATTATCCAAACATTAAATAGTTCTGCATGACTAGTCTAAGTTTTCATCCTTGGTTCAAAATTATAAAGACTGCATTTCCTGTTAAAGAGGATAAACCAACATGAAGACCAGAGAGCTGTCTATGGGAGAAAAGCAAACCATTGTCAAGCTGAGAAAAGAAGGAAAATCAACCAGAGCCATTTGA